ACCCATGTGCTCCGTTGTGTACAAAATATCAATACCCTAATACTTGAAGTATAGTACGGAAATATTCGGGAGACCACAAAAGAGTCTTGGAGGTTTGGGGAATTGAACCCAAGCCCTCTCCCATTCTAAGGGATAGCTCTACCACTGAGCCATACGCCCACTGGAGGAGTGTCGCGATGGTTTTCCAGTGAACGAAGCTTGTGACATGCGTTCACATTGACGTCGCACTACACGAACAGATGAAAATATATTTCGCCTCGTCTCGACGCGATTTTTCGGAACACTAAAATGTTCAACCGATTCTCCCCTCACATATTCAGATCCTCCACAGCATGCCGAGACGCGGTGACATACGTTTTCAACGAGATCACTTGTAGTTGAAAAAATAAAACACAACGAACCGGTTTTTTGGCTTTCCTCAACGCTGAAACGTTTAGCAGATCGTAATTTGAGTTAGCGAGGCGAGTATTCTGACCTGATCTACCAGCTTTTGCCTCAGATATCCCAACTGAGAATGCATGCTTGTGGTCAGCTTGGAGGGAACGTGATCACCGGGTAATGTCGATATCCACAGATTATCGTGTCGGAAAACCTTAGATATTGAGCTATTCCATTTTCAAAAAGGGCAATGTGATAGAACTGCAAATAGCTCAACTTTTCTGGAAAATATTTATGTCGTCAGTGTTGATTTATAAATCAGTTTACCAAATATTTTGGTGTATCTGAAACAGAAGAATTTCAAGCGTAATAACAACTCGTGGACAATAATCGGGCATGTTTCTTGCGAAAAGGCATATGGGTAGTAAGTCCTGATAAATCACACCTTTAGATATAGGCACAGTGTGACAACGCGCGAATTAGTTTATCAAGAAGCGCCAAGATAGTCGCTAGTGAAGCACTTTTAGATTTCTGGTGTCTTTATGACACTTTGCTTATTTGATTACTTGTTCTTGAATAAACAAAAAGGCCCTTGGTCCAAAACACGTTAGTTAGTGATCGTATAAAGAACTTTTGTGATTTACTAGAAATATGTGCTATCAATCCATTATGAAGTCTTTGGTCCAAAACAAGTTACTTGGAGATCGTAACGTAAACCGTAAAGAAGGTTGAGATATGTTACAAATATGTGCTGTAAATCCATTATGAAGCTGCTGCAAAGAGAGTGGAAAAAACATAGTTATTTGGAGAATGATGAAAAGCAAAAGGAGAAAAACTACTTTAAATTTAGAGGAAAAATAACAAAGCCGATTTAACTACTCAACGTAATGAATTACTTTAAACCTGTCACCTCTTTCGCTTTCTACATTGACCAAATTATATGAAAGCGGTGGTAGATTTTTTCGTATTCTTTATTAAGGAATGCACGATGTAGAACAAAATGGGTAGCTCACTTCTCATTTTCAACTTATTTTGAAGCCGTGCTTTAGGAACACTGAAATGTTCCACTCCTCACGTGCTCCAATAGGAAGAAAATTCTGATTCCTTAATACGTGAAGTATAGCACAGAAATATTCGACGACCATAAAAATGTCTGGAGGTGTGGGGAATTGAACCTCGCCCTCTCCCATGCTAAGGGAGCTCTACCACTGAGCTATACCCCCGCGCACAAGATGTTGCGGTGGTTTTCATACATATAAAGTTAGCGATATGTGTGCAGAACATCACTAATGATCGAATCCAAGGAGTGGAAGAAAACAGCCAGCCTATTTCTCATCTTCAGCTTATCTTGAACTATTTCATATGGCTATGAAAATTTTGGTCTGCATATCCTCTATATGATCAGACGAATAGGAAATGTCAATGTTTTCTAATAGGTGATATATAGCGCAAAAATATTCGACGGTCAAAAAAACTTCTGGAGATATGGGGAGTTGAATCCCAGCCCTCTTCCTGGGCGCTCTAGCACTGAGCTACACTCCTATTGTGCGGAGTGTCGTGGTGGTTTTCCAATGAATAAAGTTTGTGACATCTGTTAGCAAAATAGCACTTATGAAGTATACACGAAGTAGAGCAAAATTGGCAGTTTATCTCTAATCTTCAGCTTATTTGTAGGAACACTGAAATATTCCACCGATTTTCTCATGCGCTTCAATTAAGAAGAAAATTCTATTATCCTAATCCTAGATGTACAATACGTAAATTTTATTCGTCGGACTCATAAAGTCTTGGAGATATGAGGAACTGAACCCCAGTACACTCCCATGTTAAAGGAGCACTCTACCACTGAGCTATACCGCCAGTGGGGAGTGTCGCGATGGTTAAATAACACTGAATGTTCCACCGAGTTTCTCCTCGGGTGCCCCATTGAGAGGGAAATGTCAATGCACCATTATAAGTGAAGTATGGCACAGAAATATTCGATGACTACAAAAAGTCTTGGAGGTATGGGGAATTGAACCCCAGCCCTCTCCCATGCTAAGGGAGCGCTCTACCACTGAGCTATACCCCCGTTGCAGAGCTACCGCGATGGTTTTCTATTGAACGAAGTTTGTGACATGCGTTCACATTGACGTCACATTAGACTAACATATGAAAAAAAAATTTCAGCTCATTTCGACGACGATATTTTTGCGAACATTATAGAGTTCAACCAATTTCTCCTCACATATTCAAATTTTCCACAGCATGCTGAGAAGTGGTGGCATACGTTCCCAGCGCGATCACTTGTTGTTGAAAAAACAAAACAGAATGAGCCGGTTTTTCGGTTTTCCTCAACGCTAAAACGTTTAACAGAGCGTATCTTGAGCGAGCGAGGAGCGTTTTTTGAAGTGATCTACTAGCTTATACCTCAGACACCCTAACTGCGGGAAGCATGATTGTAGTCAGTCTGGGGGAAACGGGAGTGATCACCGGATAATGTCGATAGCCACAAATTATCGTGTCGGGAAACCATGAATACAGAGTTATTCCCTTTCCAAAAAGGGCAATGTGATGCAAATGGTTCAACTTTTCTGGAAAAAATTCATGCCGACAGCGTGGATATTTGGTATGAGTTTGTCAGATATTATGGTGTGCCTAAAGCCAAACAATTTAAGGTGTAATAATAGTGCGTGGACAATAATTAGGTATGTTTCTTGCGAAAAGGCATAAGGGTTATAAGTCCTTACAAGTCACACCTTTAGATATATGCACAGTTTGACAACGCGCGAAATAGTTTATCAAAAAGCCCAAGGTAGTCGCTAGTAAAGCAGCTTTAGATTTCTGATGTCTTTTGATACTTTGTTTATTTGATTACTTCTTCTCAAATCAAGAGAAAGGCCTTTGGTCTAAAACAACTTAGTTAGTGATCGTATAAAGAACGTTTGAGATATGTTACAAACATGTGCAGTCAATCCCATTATGAAGCTACTGCAAAGAGAGCGGAAGATACATAGTTATTTGATGAATGAAGAAAAGCAAAGGGAGAAAAACTACTCAACATTTGATGGAAAAAATAACAAAGCCGACTGAACTACTCAACGTAACAAATTGCTTTAAACCTCTCACTTTTGCTTGCTTCAATTAACTAAATTATATGTTAATGGTGGTATATTTTTCTTCTGTAGAAATAGCAAAGGAGTAATTTTTTTATGAACTGAAATTTCCCAGGAAATGTGCTCTAAAGATATCTTTATAGAAAATGGGAAAAGAGCTATTTCATTAAGAAAATACTTCCGCAAAAGTTGGTAGTTACCATTACTTGCACTTCTATCTGCTTTCCTTTCTAATATTAATATTTTTCTTGACGCGTAGTAGTGTCTCATCATAAAAGAACAGGATCTTTGCTCAGGCGACCTCCCTTTTCGAAAAGTCTGTCTTTCAAGTCCCCTTTGGAGATCTCGGTCCGTTCAGATGGCACAGGACTACATCCCAGTTCGAATCTTGGCGCTGGGCCATCGGTGTCGGCGTTTGGCCGGTCTCCAAAAGCCGCATTCGTCACGGTGCTGAGTTTTTTTTTTTGGAACAATGTAGCACGCTGTTAGTAGGAATCGCTACACAGAAGGAGGCAGATCTAAAGATATACCATTTTAATATCTAAGTTTGTATTTATTACCAAGAAGTGGCTGGCAGATCTCAGAGTGTAGTTGTCTTGGACGCTAAGTATCACAGATATCAAGGTTATTTGCCAATATTGGTTTCGCTAATTTCCCTGATACCTCTACTACAAGTTTTTTTGTTCTCTAAGCCACTATCACACCAATAATGACTCAATAGCGACAGACTGAAAGTGCGTTGGATT